TATTGTTTTCCTACATTGAAAATTGAGATGCATTAAAGGGCGATTTTTAATTATTTACCTGACTATTTTATTATTTTGTAATTTTATATATTTGAAATTTAATAGATTAGTTTTTTCAATTTAAAATAACTGTATCGAACGCATTGTCTTAAAGAATATTTAATATTACATATTGTTGTAAATGTAAAAATAAATTTTATTATACTATGAATAATGATAATGCAAAAGGACTTCATTAATATATCATTGTCCATTTTAGTAAAGATATACTAGTACAACGATAAATCACTTTTATTTATCAAACATTAAAAGCTTAGGCCTTGTTTGGTCTACATTTTTTTTTCATTCTCATTCTTCTACTCATTTTCAACCACACATTTTTTAATAAAATAATATTTTACATCACATCTATAACATTTTCTTCTTTTTTAACCACATATTCCCCATCACATTAACGGTAAAAATGCAGTCCTACATTCAAAATGTGCACCAAACGAGGGCTAATTTTAAAACAAAGTTTACTAAACGCTCTTTTCCATCACACCAAAAATGGATTCTCTTAAAAGTAGAGCAATAATTAATCAAGCTTAAATCTTTTTAAAAAGAACAAACTCCTGAACATTTACATACATATTTCGCTATATATTTCTGAGTATCATTGGATCAAATGGTTATATTCATTCAATACCGCTTAATGAGTAACCAATAGTTGTTTTCTATTAAGGGCGTGTTCGGTAGAGATTAAAATTGAAAAATTAATTGTTACTGTTGACTTTTATTAGACGAGTGAGATTCAATAACGATTATATTTTCAATTTTAATTGGATTTTAAACTTGCCCAAACATGCTCTCCATCCATAAGTCAAAGGTAAGAGCCCTATTAGATAATTGATTTGGGTTTGGGGGGGTAAAAAAGTAACTTTTTACTTACTTTTAAGTAAAAAGGGGTCAGCCAAAATCCAGCTAGTCAAAGGTAAAGTTTGGAGAATTCGTTCTCTCTTTTAACTTCTAAAAATTGCTCTAAAATGATTTAGCTCAACCAAAAGCTCAATACCGAGTCCATCTTTTAATTTTAGCCTACTCGATTATATTCGTGTTCCTTCTCTCGTTTTAAGTAACTTTATTTATAAATATGACCAAACATGTGGAAGTAGGGACTCAAGCGAAGAATAGTTGTAGTCTGATATCAAAGTCTGACTACTAAATGAGACTTCACTGCCCACTTTGTACTTTTCTTATCG